CCATTCGTTTGTTCATGGGCATTTAGGTTGCTTCCAACTCCTTGCTATTGTAAACAAAGCCGCGATAAACATGGGTATACATCTATCTACTTGGATGTCATTTATGGTCTCTTTAGGGTATATTCCCAGTAGTAGAATTGCTGGGTCAAATGGTATCTTTATTTAGAAATGAGTTTTTACTGAGTATTTTGTCATATCTCTTTTTAATTTGTTTTATTTTCATTCTCAAGCCTCTAGATACATTAATTAAAATAATATATAATAAAGGGAAAGGGGGGGAAAGTGTACAATCTATGTTATTAGACTACCAACGTCCAACAAAATGAATACAGCACTCCATCAAGCTCTAGGCTAAACACACACATTCAAGTTTCCAGATGATTAAGGTGTCTTGTTTGAATCATGGCAAAGAAAAACAATACTTAGAACCTTCTTTGGATTTAATTGTGAGATATGAGATACAATCAGCCTCCATGACAGGCCAAATACAGTGCAGGAGTATAACAATCAAAACAAGTTATCTTCCTAAACATCTTAGAGAACATTTGTTGTTATTATTATCTTTTTCTTTCTTTTTTAAAGTCAGGAAATATTTTTTTTCCACAATGGCATGATAAGTCTTTCAGTGACATTTCACCTTGATGCCATTAGTATTCTTTCTCAATTAATTAGCCATTTAGCTATGGGAAAATAGCAATTAGTTAAGAAACTTGTGTATTGATAACAACTGGCATTGGTACTGTAATAGACACTTCAACAAATCATTGCACCAAATATTCATAATAACCCTCTCAGCTAGGAGTTATCATTGTCCTCACAGGGGATGAGAGAGACAGAGTGACTAAATCACAGATAGACTGGCTGGAAATGACTGGATTCAAACTCAGTTGTGTCTGTCCCCACACCTTGTGCCTTTTACCACTCCTCTGCCTCTTGGCACGTGTGATCAGGTGCTGCAATGCTATAGAGACAACAAAGGTAAGTAGTATACAAAACATATTCTGGAAGGCAGTTTGGCACTTCTTCAAAAAGCTGAACAGAGAAATTCCATATGACCTAGCAATTCCACTACTTGGAATATACTTTGTGAAAATGAAAACTGAGGCACAAATGGAGATTTGTACACCAATGTTCATAACAGCATTATTCACTATCACAAGAATATAGAAACAGCCCAGATGTCCAACCACAAATGTGCGGGTGGAGAAATTACGGTACATTCACACAATGAAATACTGCGCAGCATGCAAGAGCAATGAATGATTTTGTAAATTAGTACCTAACTTAGAAGAGACAGGAGAACATTTTGCTGAATGAATTAACTCAGTCCCACAGGACAAATATTGTCTAAAACCATTATTGTAGAATGAGTATAAGGATCCGGGGAGGGGAGGTGGTGGAAGCAGAGGGATGAGGATGGGCGGAGGGAGGGAGGGATTAATCATAAGTTCATATAATTTGATGCATGGAGGTTGAGGAAAATTGGAAGAATCTGTTCTGGAAAACAATGTATTCAAATTTTGTAAATAAAGTAATATAATAAAACATTTTAAAATCTGTTGAAATAACAAAAAAAACCCCAACAATATAGAAAAGGTATGTGCACATGTATACACATAGACTTTAGACAGAGAGAGACAGAGATAAACAAAGGAAGATAAATCGCAGATTGATAAATAAGCACACATGTCCAAATGATCTTCTTTAAGAATACCAGTAAATAATTTCTTCATCATAAACAATTGGAGGGAAAGTATAAAACATTAAGGAAACCTGATTTGTCATAATCATATGCCCTAGACTGCTAGAAGCAATTAGCTAGTCCACTACGTTTTCTGAAACAAGCAGACACCTCCTCCATCCACTCACTCACTCACTCACCTGATTTTTCAAAGACCCACGGAAGCCTAGATTTTCTGCCATTCGTTGAGCTTGGCTGTCCTGTATACCTTCAAAAATGTCAATTTTCTCCTGGAAAATACAAATGAAGCAAACAAATGAAATTAGGATAGTCATGTGAGAAGATTTACAACTTCAAAAGAAAATGCTTGGTATATATTTGCAAAGGAGTAATTAAAGCATGGCACCTTTCCAGTGATCTGTGAGCAGGACTACCACCGCTGCCCATAGGGTATGTTTTAATTAGCAGACCAACCACAGAACAGTCCTTCCCAAAACTATATCATCCTTCAGGGTGGCATGCTGACAAGACAATCTGATGCCAGTTTTCACTTTTAATTACTGTACAGATGGTACTGACGAACATTTAGTCAGTTAATTTTTATGACATCTTTTGGAAGACTTCCAAAATAAGGTTTTCTTATCTAATATTGTTCTTTGGTTTACAGTTTGTCACAGATAGGTTAAATACTACTTTATGATTCATATTCTTTATAGCTGGTGAAAATTATTGTTAATACCTTAGCTTTACAAAGTACTATTCTCCCAAAAGATACTGAACAGTGTTCACAAATATTTTGAATGATGTTAATTTTGAAATGAATAGGTATATCTGCTATGACAACATATCAGTTCTCAATTTAAACACCAAAGTACTTAACTTCAAAAACTAATCTTGATGAAAATATTTTTAACTTGATCACTAGAGTATGAAGAAATCATCTAGACTAACACATTCATGAAACAAAATTTCCTGTTTTTGAAGAAGTAATTGTAAAAGAAATATTTTTATTAGAAGTTGTAAATGAGATTCTAAAATGAAGAATTCAGAATTAAAACTCAAATGCAGGTATTTGGGATTGCAGTGTAGCTTCTTGCCACTAGGGCACTAGTGCTCCCTAATAATGCTAAGGAATGTAAATTTTTCTGCTTACAGAAGTGGACCAAGAAATTTTCCAGATATCACATAATCTTCACAGCTCTGTTGTTGTTGTTATGTGTCATCAAGTTATCTGCAACTCATAGCAACCCTACATACACTAGCTCTGAACCCTGCCCTATCCTGATCTAATTGTCTCTGACAGAACTAATTCCATCTCTCCAGACACTGAGTCAATCCATCTCATCCTAGGTCTTCCTCTCCTGCACTGCTTCTCCACACTTCCAAGCATGATGTCCTTCTCCAAGACTGGTCCTTCCTTGTCACGTGTCCAAAGTAAATGAGATGAAGCTTCAAAATCCTTGCCTCCAAGGAGCAACCTGATTTTACCCTCTCTGAGTCAGACCTGTTTGTTCTCCTAACAGTCCAGTTCAACACTCTTGTCCAGCACCACAACTCAAAGGCATCAATCTTTCTTTTATCATCCTTAATTTTTTTCCTCCTCTCAGATGTATATAAAGTAATTGTGAAGACCATGGTCTCTGCATCAGGCACATCTTAAGTCTCCAGGCTAACACTGCTGCTGCTCTACAGTATTCTAGAAAGGTCCCTGAGAGCAGACTTTCCCAATGCAATTCATCTTTTGATATCCTGACTGCTGGTGCCAAGTGTTGATTGTAGAACCAGGCAGGCTGATATTTTTAACAATCTCAAACTCTTCTCCGTTTATCATGAAATTACCAATTGGTCTAGTGGTGAAAATGTTTGTTTTCTTGATGTTGAGCTTCAATCTATACTGAAAACTGCAGTCACTGACCTTCTGCAGCAAATATTTCAGAAAGCAAAGTTGTGTCATAGACTGTTGTTGAGCCTTCCTCCAATCCTGATGCCACATTCCTACACACAGAGCCCAGCCTCCTGACTAATCCGTTTCACATACAAATTGAAAAGGCAGAGATAGGATGCATCCCTGACACACATCTTACTTGATTCTGAACCATGCAGTGTTTCCCTTTTCTGTTCTGACAACTGCTTCCAGGTCCAAGTACAGATGAGCACAATTAAGTGTTCTGGGATTCTCATTCTTCTCAAGGTTAGCCACAACTGGTTGTGAACCACACAGTCCAATGCCTTTACATAGTCAATGAAACAGAAAAAAACATGCCTCTGGTACTCTCTGCTTTCAGCCAAGATCCATCTAACACTGGCTATGATGTCCTTAGCGCAACGGCTTCATCTAAACCCAGCCTGCACAGATGGCTGTTCTCTGCTAATATTCTGCTTTAGTCGTTTTGAATAATCTTCAGCAGGATCTTGCTTGTGTGTGATATTAGTGATATTGTTTGATAACTTTCACGCTCTCGCCGGGTCACCTTTTTTTGAAGTAAGAATAAATACAGATCTCTGCAGCCAGTTGGCCAGGAAGCTGTCCTCCAGATTTCCTGGTCTATCCTGGTGAGCATGTCCAGGACAGCATCTGTTTGCTGAAATATGTCAACTGGTATTACATCAATTCCTGGGCCTTTTTTTGGCCAATTCCATCAGAACATCTTAAACTTCCTTCTTTATTGCCATTGTCTCTAGATCATATGTTGTTTTATGAAATTCGTCTGTAGCCAGTTCCTTTTGGTATAATGCCTCTACTCCTTCCATCTTCTTTTGATGCCTCCTGGGCCATTCAACATTCTGCCTTCAGCATCCTTAAGTATTACAACTTGAGGCTTCAATTTGTTTTTCAGCTCCTTCAGCATAAGAAATGCTGAGTGAGTTCATCTCTTTGATATTCCAACTCCAGCTCTTTGAACATTTCATAATACTTTGTTTTGTCTTCCTGAACTGCCCTTTGAAATCTTCTTCCTTTGAATCTTCTGTTCAGCTCCTTAACTTCTTGATTTCTTCCCTTTGCTTTGGCTTCTCAGCATTGTAGTGCAATATTCAGAGTCTCTTCTGACATCCATCTTGGTCTTTTCTTTCTCCTCTGTCTTCTTAATGACTTTTTGCATTCTTCATGAATGATATTCTTGAAATTCTCCTACAGCTCATCTGATCTTAGCTCCACAGTGCTCACTGCTTCAAACTTGTTCCTGAGATGTTCTTTACATTCTGGTGCGACAGACATAAGGTCAAATTTTTATTCTTGCGGATTTGATTTTATTTTCTTTAGCTTCAATTGTTAAAACTGCATAAAAGTAGTTGGTGGTCTGTTCCACAATCACCACTTGGCCTAATTTTCAAAGCTGATATTGAGCTTTTCCAGCAATTTCTTTCACAGATGTCATCAATGTGATTCCTGTGTAGACCAACAGGTGAAGTCCATGCATATTGTCACCATTCATGTTTCTTACAAAAAGTGTTTGCAATGAATAGGTCATTGAATATACAGAATTCTATCATTGTGTCTGGCCTCATTTCTGTCACCAAGTCCATGCTTTTCAAATACTGATCCTTCTTTCCTGTTCCCAACTTCTGTGTTCCAGTCATCTATTATTATAAAAATATCTTGGCTGGTGAAAATTATTTCCATTTCCATTTAGCTGATATTAAAAATGAAGCTTAGAGCCGTTCTAGCTAGTTAGGATTCAGGTATTTTTGTTTATGTATTACTTTTAATAGAAATAAAAGATGATAATTTAAAAAATGCAAAAAGAGATATAATCTTTACCTCTGAAATATTTTATTGTATATCAATACGGGTCTCTGGTTAATATGAACATTTAAACACCTAACTACCTACTGAAAGTGTGGTTGTTCAAACCCAGAAGCACCTCAGAAGAGAAGTCAGATGATCTGCTTTCCTAAACTCTAGGAAGTACTGTTCCATGTGTAGCACCTAGGGCTGTTAGGAGCAGGGATCAACTCTATGGTGGCTAGTCTGGATTTTGGGTTGTTTCATACTGAATACTGAGAGACATTAGTAAACTTGCTGGTTCATATCTGACCTCCTACAAGGAAATATGCAGGTCACATGTACTGTCACTGAGACAGAGTCAACTAGGAAAATATGGAAATACCATGTTGTTATTGGATGCCTTCGTGATGACTATGACTCATAGCTCTCCAACTGCTTAATTCTTGGGGCAAATTTGACAAAACAGAATGAGGCAAGAGAAAGAAAGGAGAAAACAGTAAAAGGAATGAAAAACAACAGGGGGATACCTTTGATTAGCTAATTCCTTTGTTTTATACAACTTTTTGGGGAGGCTTGTTGTGCAATGGTTAAATTATTAGAATAAGGCAGCAGTTTGACCTCCACCAATGGTTCTTTTGATGAGGCCAAAGGAAAAAGCAGCCTAGAATCCTGAAAACTACAACCTCAAAATAATCCTTTCTTTAAAAAAAAAGTTTGCTCACCAAGCTTGTATAAAATGTATTTCACATTATTATTAATTCACATTGTGTTTCATACAATCACTCTGATTCATTATATTTTATAAAATTAATCAACACTGAACTATGTCCACCATTTCCCGGTCTTTCCAGATCCTCGCCGATCTTTCCCATCCCCTTTACCCACCCACCCATCCATCCATAGAATTGTGCGACCCTATGATCCCCCCCTAGCTCATCCTTACTCCTCTGCTCCTCCCCTCCCCCTCCTGAATCTTCATAAACATTTTACATACACATTTTACATCCTTCTGTTTCTACAGTAATGGTCTCATGTAGTATTTGTCCTTATGAAACTGAGTTAGCTTACTCAGTGTAATGCTCCTGAGATAATCTTTAATCTTAGACAAAGATATCCTGAAGTCATTTCCAAATGGAACAAGTGTTTAACTAGTTAAAAAAATTTCAAATAGCAGCCTTGAGCATTATATTCTTTTAAAAACTATCTTTACATGATCAAACTGACAAGAGCAACTCAGAAGATTAGCTAGGAACTTGGAGGAGGCCAGTAAGTCTATGCTAACGGGGGAGATGAGCTCAGAAAAGGAAAGAAAGTTCCATCCAACTCAGAGAATGGAATCACCACCACTGACTTGTCCATGAAGATACTGATAAACTGGCGTTGTGTCTTTCTATCTATGTTTCTAATAAAGTTTAAAAAGGAGAGGGAAACACCACATAGAATAGATCCCAAAAGAAAAACACCAAGGCATATCATAGTTAAATTTGCCAGAACCAAAGATAAGGAGAGAATCCTGAAAGCAGCAAGAGAGAAACAAAGAGTAACCTACAAAGGAGAACAGAT